CCTGCAGTGAGGGCCTGTGAGCCTGGTCACAAGGCCAGGCTGGCCAGGACCGGCAACTCAGTCACATTCACGCCTCGGGCTTTGTTGATGTTGTTCCCTGTGTCTGCAGTGGATGCTCTTCCCTCCAGGCCTGTCCTAGGGTTCCCTCTTCTCAGGAGCCTGCTGAGGCCTTCACGGCCACTGTGTCCTGGGCCCTGCCAGTGGGCCTCAGTGGCAGCCAGCCCTGTGAACTTGGGGAGGGGCCGCCTCTGGGCTCCCTGTGAAGTCTCACCCCACTCACTGGAGGGCTGTGGAAGCCCAGGATCCTGAACCGTTACCAGGGGGAGGGGGGAGGGGCCGGGCCTGTGACATGCCCGGAGGCCCTGTGTCCTTGTTTCTGGCCCCCTGTTGCCCACGTGCTCCCCCGTACGCTATACCCACACCATGTCCCACACCACATCCTGGTCAGCTGTCCCACACCCACTTCGATGGCACACATCTTTGTTCCGAGCTTCCTCAGTGCCCACACAGCCTGTGATGTGACCTGTTTGCTGAAGTTATCACCCACTCAGGTGTCACCCAGAACCAGGTGGTCACCTTTAGAAGTCACCCTCCCGTTCGGTCATCACACGACCTGTTGCCATTCCTCGGTGCCTGCTGCATCCTGTAGCTCATCACATGCACGCACACTCCATCATGTGGGAGAGGCACTCCACTGCCTGCCCCCAGCTGATGGCACCTGATGTACTCTCTGCTGTGACCGCAAGGCCCACACCCCAGGCCTTCTAGGGTTAGAGGCACCCCTTCCTCCTGTCCTGCTGGCCCTGGGGGATTCATCATGCTCCTGTGTCCTCTGACCTGCTTCCTCTCTGGCTGGCGCCAGAACGTGTCTGTCCTCACTGATCACAGGCTGACTGCCCACCCCTCAATGGCAAGGTCCCAGCTGGGCCCTCCGATGGCCCGAGGAAGACGGGGTCTCACGTGAATAGCTGGACAAGAGGGCGCCCAGATTTTCTGTTAAAACGCTGCACCAGTTCCTAAAGGGATCCAAAGCACAAACTGGGCATTTTAATGTACTGGGAACTTATATTTCCTGGTTTTCCATCTCTCAGAACTTAGTGGTGCTGGTCACCGCCCTCCCCAGCGTGGAAGCGACACCAGTGGGTTGGGTTGCAAAGACTTGTTTAGAATGTTTTAGCGTTCTGCTGTTTCTGGCTTTGTCAGGAAAACGTTTCCCGGATTTTTTGTAGTTATGGTATTGGTTTGTTTTTGTTGTGTTGTGTTTTGTTTTTTCAGTTTTATTTTGTGGCTTTGTCATCCAGGCGGCTTCCTGGGAGGCGTATTTCCATCATTTAAAGTTGTGCTAAAATAAATCCCCAGTTCTTTTAACAACAGCACTTCATGCATTATTCAGTTTCGGAATCGCAGCCAGCGGCATCTGCTGGCCTTGGCGACTGGCTGGGTGGCCTCCGGGTGAAGGCAAGGCCCACAGCTGCTCAGGTTGCTGGGTCGTTACGGCACCCTGCCAGGTCGGTGGGCCACGCCTCGGGGTGCTGCCCTTCCCCACGGGCCTGCAGCCCTCTTCCTGGGGTGAAGGCGCGGCTGCCTGCGGCACAAGTTCAACCACGGTAACTCCTCTCGTTCAGCAGAAGGGAGTCAGAACAGCTGCTCCATGGAGCCACTGGGGACACAGACTCCTTCTCTCCGGCTGCTCCCCCGTCCCTAGGCTGTAGCCCTCCTCCACGTGGTCCGCAAGACCAGATCATCCTCTTCCCAAGCATCAGAATGTTGAAGACGAACACTGTGGATGGATTCCATGTTCTGCCTCCAGTCAGGTGCCATCGGCCAGAGCCTACCATAGCAGCCTACCTACCGCTATGCCCCTGCTTCAGGGGAGGCTGGGGACAGTACCCACCCCACCCCCGGCCCACATCCCGCTAACCACTTCCAGGTACTGTGCCCCGGTGGCTCCCAGCCACCGCACCCGCAGGCCTCCTGTGGGTTCCCTCTGACCTGCTTGGCCTGAACACAGGGATATTGGGTGTGCAGGGAGTCGGTGTCCCCGGGCAGCCCTCAACCCACGTCTGCTGGAAGTTGGGGGACAAATACTGCAGCCTTTGCCCCTCCGGTGGGATACCACTGAGGCATGACCTGCAGAGTTCTTCCCTGGGATTCAGTGGCGCCAGCTCAAGAGCACACCCCCTGCTTCCTTTCTCATCCCCATGTCTCTCTGGGGCTTCCTGGAATCTCTTCCCAATGACACTACTTGCATCCATATCCTTATCTCCAGATCTGCTCCAGGGGGAACCCAGCTTGGGACAGGGGACCAATCAGGACTCCATTGCAGACTTGCTTTTATTTCATTGGTCCCTAAATGATTGGTAATTGGGTTAATTTGTGTCTGTTAGCGTTACTGTGCCACGGTGAATGTCCCTGCATAGTTCTCGTCCTGCGTGTGTGGGTACGATCGCAGGATAAATTCTTAGAAGACAGATCCACACCCCTGGGCACGCTGTTGACTGTGCCTGTTCCTCGGGTGGCTTCAGCTCTCTGCCAATGTATGTTTTACTGTTGCTGTGCTCACGGCACCAGGACAATCCAGGATCTGGATGGTCACACTTAAATGCTGGTGGCATGCCCCGGGTTGCTCTATGGGCCGCCGTGATATGCTTACCTCATCCCTCTGCACTCAAACATTTAGGTGTTGTCCATTTCCCTGTGAGGACTTCTGCCGTGCATGCTTCCTGAAGGGTCTGTTTTCTTCTTTGAGGACATCATGGATGGAGAAACACTTGGCACACAGCAGGACCGACAGACAGCTCCTTTGTTTTTTTCTATTTTACTTATTTATTTTTAAGTTACATCCAAGTTAGCATAGAGTGCCATAATGATTTCAGGAGTAGAATCCAGTGATTCATCCCCTGTGTGTCCCCAACAAGTGTCTTCTTTGATGCCCCTTACCCATTTAGCCCATCCCCACCCACAAGACCTCCAGTAACCCTCAGTTTGTTCTCCGTATTTAAGAGTCTCTTAGGTTTTGTCCCCTTCCCTGTTTTTATATTATTTTTGCTTCCTTTCCCTTATGTTCATCTGTTTTGTCTCTCAAAGTCCTCATATGAGTGAAATCATATGATATTTGTCTTTCTCTGACTAATTTCGCTTAACATAATACCCTCCAGTTCCATCCACGTAGTTGCAGATGGCAAGATTTCATTCTTTTTGATTGCCGAGTAATACTCCATTGTATCTATATACCACATCTTCTTTATCCATTCATCCATTGATGGACACTTGGGCTCTTTCCATACTTTGACTATTGTTGATAGTGCTGCTATAAACATTGGGGTGCATGTGCTCCTTCAAAACAGCACATCTGTATCCCTTGGATAAATACCTAGTAGTGCCATTGCTGGGTCATAGGGTAGTTCTATTTTTAATTTTTTGAGAAACCTCTATGCTGTTTTCCAGAGTGGCTGCACTAGTTTACATCCAGATAGCTCCTTCTTCCCTAAATATTTTTTTTTCATGTTTATTTATTTTTAAGAGAGAGAGACAGAGTGTGAGTGGGGGGGAGAGGCAGAAAGAGAGGGAGACACAGAATCTGAAACAGGCTCCAGGCTCTGAGCTTTCAGCACAGAGCCCGACGTGGGACTCGGACCTATGAACCATGAGATCATGACCTGAGCCGAAGTCAGACGCCCAAACGACTTGAGCCACCCAGGCGCCCCTCGTTTTAAAAGGTTAGGAGGGAGATGTGGTTACCTTCGGCAGAGGGAGGCGGCAGGGGGCCGCTGGAGAAGAAGCTCCCAGGCAGGTATAAGGATCAGTCACATGTCACTTCATCCTTCTGCTGCATCACAGGTGTGCAGCACCATATTGTGTATATTTCAAGTAGGACACAGCTGTGCACGTTGCAGGAAAACTCCTGAGACACACACAGTCCAAGTGGAGGTCAGCCTGGCTCCAACCCCAACAGGAGGGGACCCTGGGGGGTCCCTGCTTCCTTCTACCACCAGATGCTGCATGGTACACCAGGCCTGCTTCCCACCTGGGCATGGAGGGAGGGAGGCCCAGAGAGAGTCCTTTGCTGGGGTGTCCACCCTGTGGCAGTCCTCTGCACCCCAGACACCCCAGGAGCATGCAGCAGAACTGACTTCTGCCTCCTGCAGGCTGAGAACCAGCACCCACCTGTCCCCAGGGCCTGGGGAGGGCCCCTTTGCAATTCTCACTCCACTGGAGACCTCATTCCCCCTTCTTTCTGGAATAGGGCCCTTGTCCACCTTACTCAGTGCAGCCCCCATAGCCATTTTCAGGGTCCCCACACCCTCTCTCCTAGGGAGAGGGCTATCGTTAGTGTCCCCAATTTTATTCACCCAAGGACTCCAAGGTGACATCCTAGTCCCTCTCTTTGTAGAACAGAGCAGAGGAAACCCTCACATTCTCAGCAGGCACCCTCCTACGTAGTGCCGCCATTACAAACTCCAAAGCAGTTGGTATTACGTATACTTCCTTCGAAGACTTTGTAATGCACCGACGGCGTGCTGTTAGGTTCATGTATGAAAATTGCAGAAATTATTAGCCCTGTCGCCAAGTTCCCCAGTTCTACCCAGAGATCCTGATTGTTACCTCTACACACACACACACACACACACACACACACACGCAGGAGCATATCAGCCACACTTCTGCTGTGCCTTTAAAAAATTCTTAATATGCTTTGTGGATTGCTCGAGAGCATTATATCAAGAGCTGTTTCTTCATTTCCGTGGCCGCCTACTGTTTCGGGGTACAGCCCTGATGTCACCGAACAGCCCCCTATTAGTGGATATTAGGTGGCCTCCGACGCTTCGCTGTTTCTTAGGGCGCTGTCATGAATGTTTTGTCCACATACGTTTCCTCACATGTGTGAGTACATCTTTGGAATCAGTTCTTGGAAATGACGTCCGTCCTCTCACTAACTCTCACGCCAACCCCTCGAGATTAAACATAGATGAGAACACGGAGGCTCAGGAAGCAAAGTGCTCCATGCAAGTGGACACAGGATGTGAACCTGCGATGTTTATTCACACGGTGTGGGTTCTGAGGAGATGAATAGCCCCTTCGAGGCGGTGCCCCCCACTCAAGTTCACCTCTGTCCGGAAGGGAGGGCTCTGGGGCCACTGCAAGGTGGCCGAGAGGGAGGCCGCACAGAGCTGGGCTCTAGGAGAGGCCTCTGGAGGGGTGGGCAGCATGGGCACCAGTGAGGGCAGCAGGGACTCTTGACCCAGGGAAACGGTGGCTCAGTAGCTTGAATTCCCAAAGGTAGCTCTGTGGAGGCGGCAGCGGCGGGGGGCTGAGGCTGGACGGTGATGTAAAATCTGGTGCCCCAAGCCTAGGGAAGCCACGCGGAACCCTGCTGGTCCAGAGACGTCGGCCAGGGCCACAGCCAAGTCTCTGCTCCCAGCCCAGACCTGCCCTGGGACCCCACACCAGCCTCTGCTGCCCTCCTAGCCAGCCCCCCACCCCAGATGTCCAAGTCAGAACTCCTACGTGGCCAGGACTTGGTCCCCCAGCCCTGCCCAGACACTGAGTGAGTGTCATCTTTGTGCCTGCCAGAAGGTGCACCAGCGTTGTGTGAGGCCACCGATCCTCCCCTAGGCAGCATTCTCTAACAGCTACATCAGGTCTGGACATGCTACCCTCCTGCTCCCCAGACTTCAGTGGCTCCCCACTCACCCTCAGACAAATGTTGGCATTTAACGTTCTCCCCTACCTGTCTCCTAACCATCCCGAAAAATGGCACTTCAAATTCCTTAAGTGGGACACTAATCTGCCCCACCTCAGGACGTTTGCACTTGACTTCTGCTGCCTGGAGCATCTCTTCGTATAAGGTTCCTGCTTCTCACCCAGGCCCCCATGCCCTCTCTTACCCTCTCCCCCCATCCACTCTCTGCCCTACTTTGGCACCTGCTGGCCATGGCCGTTTGGCCCCCAACAATCCCACTCTGGTCAATTCCCCAACAGAGGGCTGGCGGGGGTTCAGAGGGCGGAGGACGAGGTGGGGGATCTCTGCCGCCTGCTCCCCATTACTTCAAGCCTTTGGCAGAGGCCCCACAGCCACAGCCCCCTGCCTGCCCTGGAGCTCACGGCCCCTGCCCACCCCTCCACCCCAGGGGAGGGACTGGCTCCCCACTGGTGCTGGGCCCTGGTGGGTTGAGAAGCCCACGGCCTCCAGAGCTCCCTGACACATCCGCTGACCACTTCAGTTTGTCCTCCAGATCTCTGCTCTGTGTCATCCGCTGGGAGACCTCTTCTCATAGCAGACCCTTGGGGCAGGCCCCAGCACCAAGAGTCTGGACCCTTGTGCACAGCCTGACTGGTCCCCACAGGACGCCTGGCTGGAAGCTGATCCCATTCTGCAGCAGTAGAAGCTGAGACTCAGGACCCCCTGTGCTCTCAGACTCCAGCCTCTGCAGTTCAGCGCCCACTGGATCGGTCCAGACAGCTGGAGCAAGAGCCCACAGCCAGATGAGGGAGGGAACGTGACACCCAGGACAAAAGTCAGGGCCAGTAGGGGCAGGGAATAGGCACGTAACTGTGTGCATGTGTGTGTGTGCGCGCGTGCGCGCAAGCCTGAGTGTTTTAATTGCCTCTCCGGATATCTGGTTAGGGGACTGTGCAGGTGTCTCTGTGACCTGCCAGAGGTGATATACAGTGTATGGAGCCAGGGGCTTGGCCAGTCAGAACAGACACAGGGCTTGGAGTTGGAGGGAGGCGCAGAGGCAATCAGGGCGGAGCTAGGGTCTTTGGGAGGTGGGGTGATGCCCCCCACCAACTGGTCAGGGAAGCCCTTCATTGTGTAACAGCTGGTGGGTGCCAGCCAGCCCAGTGACAGGGCGAGTACGTGAAATGTTGTGTGGTGGGGTCTTCCCAAGGGTTTCCGGGTGCTTCACCGTGTGTGCCCGTGGGTGGGAGGCGCATTCACGTCTATGCGGTCAGTTTAGAGGTGGCCAGTCCAAGAGTCCCTTGCAAGTGCCTCCACCCTCAGAGCAGGCTGCACGGAGACCCGAAGCTTGCCGGCCCTTCCTCTGCTTTGCCTGTGCCGTGTGGAAGGATGGCGGCAAAGCCCCCACCCCCTCAGGCCTGCTTCACCACCTGCAGACGGGGCCCGCCCGCCCGAGGGTCCCCTGCAGCCTCTCCCACAAACTGCCTTGCTGTGGAAGGAACCACAGGACATTAGCGCCTCCTTTCTGGACCTCGGTTTCCTCAGGTTAGACGTGGAGCATGCTGGGTCATGAACGTCTGTGTACAGACCTGGGGTGGGAGGCTTGTGTGTGGTCAATGGGCAGCGGTGGCTGTCCACATCCTGGGCCTGACACTTACCCTCTGACTGGAATGGATCTTGTTGGCACCAGCATCTTCTGCAGGGGCAGCTGATCCCGCAGTGAGTCATTTCTCTTCGTGGCCTCCCAGGGCTTTGGGAACTCTGCGTTGGGGGCCGTCAGCCAAGAGAACCTGCAGTGGGGCACCTGGCATCTTTAGGTGACCGGCAGCCATCAGCCACATGAATAGCTCTTGGTCATCTGGACCTTTCTGCTTGCCAGGTGGCGTTCTAAGCGCTTTATCAACATTAACCCACATGTCAATTCACAACCGTGCTATGAGGTAAGTCTGGTTGCCAATATTTTGTAGATGAGGAAATGAGGCAGGGAGAGGTCAAGTGACTTGCCCAAGGTCACACAGCTAGGAAGCCCTCCAGAGTTGCTGCATTTTTTCCCCCAGGACCCTACACAAAACATTTAGTAACTGCTGCTGGCTGAGGCCCCAGAGCTGCCCAGTCTGGGGGTCTCTGCTGCTTTCTGAGTGCCCTGGGGGCTTTACAAACCAGTCCCCACCCCAATCTGATCCCATCACATGTTTGGTAGGGGGAGGTGTTCACGAACATGCTCCTCAGGTGGTTCCTGTGAGGCCACTGGCCCAGAGGCAAGCAGCTGGCTATGGCTCTGGGATGGCCCCGGGGGTCCTGGGCACCCACCTAGAGGCCGTCAGCTCAGATTGGGATGGGGGTGGAGAAGGTGAAACCCAGACTGTCACAGAGCTGCACAGGGAGCTCCCTGGGGATGAAAAACCCCACCCCAGGCCCAGGCCATGGAATGTGCTAGGGGGTGAACTGAGGGGAGGCGGGACTTTGCCCTAGTGGTGGGGAGGTCTTGTACCTGTACGGAAACTTTCTGGCAAAATTTTCCTGGATCTTGGTGCTCCTCTTCTTATGTTGGGGGTACTTCTTGGGGTCCTTCAACCTCATCATGGAAGGGGGTTAAACTCTGGCACACCCTTCAGCCATGGCTGGAAGGCAAGAGGAGGCATCTCAGAGCCAGAGAGGCGGTGGGAGGAGCTGTTCTGGACCCAGACCAGGCACACGGTATCCCCCGAGGACCGCAGAGGGGACAGAAGTTGGGGGCCCTGCCAGCCTCGTGGGGTTGAATGAAGGCCGGGTCTTGCCGGCCTGTCACTGATGCCTGGCCTCACCACACTGCACCTGGTATGAACACTCTCACGTGTGTGTGTGTGTGTGTGCACGCAGCTTTGTGTACCTGCACCTGGGATGGTTCTCAACCAAACAGCCCATCCCGAGCCCCAGCAACCACGAATCTGTTCTCATGTCTATACTGATGGGATTTCACAAGCGTTGTACCAATGGAATTACCCAGTAGGCATCTTTGGGAGCCTGGCTTCTTTCTCGCAGCGTCACCCACTTGGGAATTCTCCCAGTGGGTGGGAGAATCAGTGGGTGGTTCTTTTTTTCAGTGCTGAGCAGTGTTGGTTTTATTTATTTTATTCATTTATTTTTTAAAATTTGTTTCGGTTTATTTATTTTTTGTGGGAGGGAGAGATAGAGAGTGAACAGGGGACAGGCAGAGAGAGAGAAAGAGAGAGAATCCCAAGCAGGTTCCATGTTGTCAGCGCAGAGCCCAACACGGGCTGAAACGCACAAACCGTGAGATCATGACCTGAGCCGAAATCAAGAGTCAGATGCTCAACCGACTGAGCCGCCCAGGCGCCCCAGGGGTATCAGTTGTAACAGGAGCTTCCAAACAGCCTTCCAGAACGGCTGCACCGTTTCTGGTACTCACCAGCCGTGTACGAGGGACTGTCCTTTTAAGGCACCCGGTGCACATGCAGGTAGGTCAGGGCTGAGAACAGCAGGGGTTAAGGCCTGACCACTACTGTTTCCTTTGCCATTGAATCGCCTGACCCTTGCCCACCACTGTCTGTGCTAATGTATCTTCACCGTGGCCAGAACAGCCATCGGGTCGTGAACGTGAGCTTAGAGCTTGTGATAGAGCCAGCCCCCTGCCATCCTTGGCTCCAGATTTGGTCCCTCGAGCGGACGGGTGAAGCCGCGGTGGGGCACTGGCTCCTGGTGTGGAAAGACGCCCAGAAGCAGGGCTGGCTGACGAGCTAGTGTCAGGCCGGGACTTGGAGCAGGGCACCCTCAGCAGCCCCCCACACCCGCCCTGCTCCCACCTCTGCAGGGAGGTCGTGTCTGCCACTCTGTCTGAGAGCGGTTCTCTGGCTGCACACGCGTGCCAGGCGCACACACAAGTCACATGAGCCCCAGGAGGCTTCTGCCTTCAGAAGCAGCCTTGGTGGGGGGGGGGGGGCGGAGGGGGACAGCGACATAGGGGGAGTTGCAGATAAATGTCCCGGCTGCCTCGCTCCTCGGTGGGGACAGCTCCACCAAAGGACCCAGTGGGACTGGGCTGGGTTGCCCACCGTGGTGACCACACACTATGTCTCCTTCTGGCCCCTCCTCACTTCCGGGCCCCTGCTTGTGCCTCCTGTGAGCCGCTCCCAAAGTACCTGCACTCGCGGGCCTGTCCCAGAGTCTGCACTGGAGAACTCAAACCAACAGGCCTCTTCCCTGCAAACTCTGGAAATGTCTGCACTCACCAACCCATGTTGGGAAGGTGAAAAGTAACTAGCCATCCACCTAGCTTCGTGTCTCCATGCACACACATGCACAGGCACACACGCGTGAACGCAGGGCCGTGTGGCCGCCGTGTGGCTTCCCTCCCTCACGCCACTCTGCTCCCTCATCCTCCCCGTGCCCCAGGCTGACCTGTGGGCTCTCTTCCCTTTCTATTCACTGCAGCTACACCCCACCCGCGGTAAAAAAAAAAAAAAACAAACAACCTAGTGAAATCTGGAGGGATGCCAAGGGAGAACACGGTGCTTTTCCCAAGTCTGGGGTTCTGGGGTCCCCAGGAGGCCAGTGGACCTCGGGCAAGGCTGTTCCAGTGGGGACTCGGTGAAATGGGCCGTGCTGCCCATACTGCTCCCCTCGCCTCTGGGGCTATGAGGGCTTCTGGAAACCCTCACTGTGGGCAGAGGGTGTCCTTGCCTTGGGCAGGGGGTGGGAGTTGGCTGTGGTGCTGTCTGCTCGTGTTACGGCACACTGACCCTGGGGTCCTCGACAGGAGCTGAATGGCCTCACTGGACACGGACGCTCCTAGTCCAAGGCCAAGCCCACCTATCTGTGAGCCCAGCACACCCCACTCACCTCCCCGGCTGGCCTGGTCTCTGATTCTGGAAGATCAGCATTCCCAGAGGGCCTTTGCCTGGCCCAGAAATGTCAGCAGCAGCCCTGCTTGCGACCTGTCCCCTCAATCCTACCCAAAGGTCTTCCTGACCCTGAGCAGGGGGCCTTTTCCACTGACTTGCCCACCTGGCAAAGAGCTTTGCTTGAGGTGGGGTCCCTTTCATGGTCCTGGCCCTACAGCCCTTTACTGTCAGCCATACTTGGGCAGGTGGCTAACTCCTGGCTATGGCTTTTGGCCCTCCTCCTCCTGAGAAGCCAGATGAGGGACCCTGCCCAGGATGGTGCCTGTGTCATGGTGGGAAGCCCAGGCTCTGGGCTCAGCGAAGTGTCTGCTAAGCTCTATGCTTGACCTGATGGAGAACAGAATACGATCACCCCTGTTTTTCAGGTAAAGACACCAAAGCCCTGAAAGGTTAAGTGTTTGCCTATGTTGCCCCCCCACCGGGTGAGCAGGGGAAGAGGTGGGGTCCAGAAGCCCATCGGGACTTCACAGCCTCAGACAGTCCTGAATGGGGCTAGAAGAGGTGACCGCACCAACCACGGACCCGAGGAAGAAGCCCTACCACAGGAACCTAGGAGTCTGGAGGAGGCGGGGGAAGGGGCACCCCTCACATCCGCCCTGTACCTACCTGCAGACCCCCTAAGCCATGCGTGTGACCCTGCAAACTGACGGGGTTGAATCAACCTCCCTCGGGGGCAGCGTGGCCCCTGCAGAGCCCAGGGTGGGACTCTGACATCATGGCCTTCTGTCACAGGCACCGTCTCACTGCGGCTGCCCAAGCTGACCTGGAACTGCCCTTCCCAGCTGCCCAGACTGCCTCCCCAAGTCCTGGCAGTGATGATAATCGGGGCTTATATCAGGGCTCCCTGGCATTGCCCCTACCCAGGTGTGAGAGAGATGCTGTGCCCCTTCAACCCCCAAGACTGGTCCCAGAGCATGGAGGCAGGGCCCTGGCAACAGCACTCTCTTGGTTCAGCAATGTAAAGAAACACAGGCCTTGGTGCACGGAGCCTCCAGCTGGAAACGAGTGGGCGACTGAACTGTTCAAGCTACAGGCTACTCACGGGCTGGCTTACGTGATGCCAGAAGGGTGGAAGCTGGCCATGGTCCTGGCTTCCATGCTACCCCACGAACACTGGCCCTAGTGCCCCAGTAGGCCAGGCCCATAGGCTCATTGCGACATCAGAAGCCCTTGAAGTCACAATCAGTGACACCCCCAGCTGCTAAACTATGTGGTTCACAATCTGGCCTGAAGCCCCTCGGGCCCAGAGAATGGCTGTAGAGACAGCAGTGACGGCCTGCTGGCCTTCCTGCTCCCAGCACCCTGGGTGGGGCATGCATGTGAACATATCCTACAGTAGAGATCTCTTCCATGCAGGTTCTGGGAACAGAAGAGATACCCCAGAAATAGCTGAAACCTCACTTCCATTGCAAATCTCTTTCCTGGCCAACTCTGACCTGAGCTCTACCCACAGCCCAGGAATCACGGGATGAGGGTTTGAGCCCAGGGCAGTGTGAAGAGTTTAGGGCATGGGCCCTGAAGGTCAACTCTGTCTCCCAGTCTGGGCCACTGGCTTCTATGTGGCCTCAGGCAAGCATGTCAGTCTCTCTGTGCCTCAGTGTCCCAGACTACATCTGTGTTTGGAAAAAAATCTCTCTGGCAGAAGTGTGGAGAACAAAGTGAATGGGACCAGGAGTGAGTGTGGGTAGACCAGGTAACCAGCAAAGGCAGTAATGCAGATGAGAGGAGGCAGTGCCTTGGGATGAGGTGGTGATGGGGATGGAGGAAAGGGGGTGGGTTTGAGAGATGTCCAGGAGACAGAGTTAACACAGAGCGGTGGTAGAGCCTGTGGGAGGGTCAATGAGGATTCTGGGTTTCTTTTACTATCACTAGACGGGACTGGACTAAGCCTTGGAGGGAGACTGTGGGTTTGGCCTCGGTCTGGTTGAGTTTGAGATGCCTTTGAGGCATCCCTCCACTCAGGCACATCGTAGATCTGGGTCTGAGGTCCAGAGGGGTGAGGTCTGGACCTAAAGTGAGTTTGGGTGTTGTTGATGTATCAGTGCTAATTGAAGATCATCATCCAAATGGGAGACGGTGTGGAAGGAGAAGAGAGCAGTGAACTGAGTTAAGATACTCCAATATTTAACGATCAAGTGAATATTTAGTGCCTGCGACCCAGCCAGAGGCACAAAGAAGACAAAGTAAATAGTGTCATGGAAGCCGGGGGATGGTCACAGCTCAAGAGGCACAGACTGGTCAGCGGTGTCGGTGCTGCGGATGGACGCAACAAGGTGAGAAGGAACAAGTAACTGCGGGTTTTAGGGCTGTTTAGTTTTATGCAAAGCTGTTTTTGTGGAGGCACGGATGCCAGATTATGAGGAGTTGAAGAATGAGGTGAAGGAGTTGAACCGGGGTGGTATGGCCATTTGGCCTGTGCTACATGTGCCCCAGCCACTCTCCATTCTTTATTCTATTAATGTGATGTATTACATTGATTGAGTTTCTTATGAAGTACACTTGCATTCTGGGGATAAATCCCACTTGGTCATGATACATAATCCTTTTAATATGCTGCTGAATTTACTTTGACAGTATGTTGTTGAGGAGTTTTGAATCCGTATTCCTAAGGGGCATTGACCTGGACTTTTCTTTTCCTGTAGTGTCTTTTTCTGGCTTTGGTAGCAGTATAATCCTGATCTCATAAAATGAGCTTGGAAGCGTTCCCTCCTTTTCAGTTTTTGGGAAACTTTGATAAGGATTGGTGTTAATTCTTTGTAAATGTTTGGTAGAATTCACCAGGGAAGCCATCTGGTCCCAGCCTTTTCTGTGTGTGTGTGTGTGTGTGTGTGTGTGTGTGTGTAAGTATAATCCTTCGGGTTTTGTAATTGTTCTGGCTAGAACTTCCAGTACTATGTTGAATACAAGCGGCCAAACCAGGCATCCTGGCCTTCTTCCTGATCCTAGTGGGAAAGCTTTCAGTCTTTCTTTCTTTTTTTTTTTTTTTTTGAAGAAAGCACTCAAGTGAGTAAGGGGCAGAGAGGAAGAGAGAGAGAATCCCCTGAGGGGCAGAGAGAGAGAGATGAGGGAGAGAGGGAGAAAGAGATAAATGGGGCTTACCTGATACAGGGCTTATGCTCACCCCAAATGGGGCTCAACTCAAAAACTGTGAGATCATGACCTGAGCTGAAGTCAAGTGCTTAACGGCCTAAGCCACCCAGGCACCCCCAACTCTCAGTCTTTTTACCATTGAGTTGGACGTTAAGTGTAGGGTTTTCACATATGGTTTTTACTTTGTTAACAAAGTTTTTCTTCTATTACTAATTTGTTGAATTTTTTTTAATCAAGAAAGTGTGTTGAATTTTATCAAAAATTTTGACATCGATTGAGATAGTCATGTGGGTGTGGTTTTTTTTTCCATTTTTCTGTTAATGTGGTGTATTTGATTGCTTTTCATAAGTTGAACCATCCTTTCATTCCTGATGTAAATCTCACACGGTTATGGTGTATAATTATATGGTATATAATCCTCTTAATATTTCTAAACTGAATTCAGTTTGTTGGTATTTCGTTGAAGATTTTTGCATCAATATTCATAAAGCATATTGGTCTTAGTTTCTTTTCTTGAAGTGTCCTCTTCTGGCTTTGGTATCAGGGCAATGCTGGCCTCTTAGAGTAAGTTAGGAAGTGTTTCGCCCCTCTTCAGGTTTTTGGAAAAGTTCGGAGGGAATTAATATTAGTTCTTTAAATGTTTGATCGAATTCAGTAGCGAAACCATCTATCCCAGGGTTTTTATTTGTTGGGTGTTTTTTGATTACTGAATTAGTCTACATACTATTTATCAATCTATTCAGATTTTCTATTTATTCATGATTCAGTCTTGGTAGGTTGTGTGTTTCTGGGAATCTGCCCATCTCATCCGGGTTATCCAATTTGTTAGCATTCAACTGTTCATAGTACTCTCTTATAATCCTTTTAATTCTATACAATCGGTAGTAATGTTCCCATTTTCATTTAAGATTTTAGAAATTTGAATCTTCTTTTTTTTTTTTTCTTTTTTTGTCTTAGTCAATCTAACTAAAGGTTTGCTGATCTTGTTGATAATTTCAAAAATCAACTCTGGTTCTGTTGATTTTCTTTATTTTTTTTTTTTTTAATTTTTTTTCAACGTTTTTTATTTATTTTTTTTTTGGGGACAGAGAGAGACAGAGCATGAACGGGGGAGGGGCAGAGAGAGAGGGAAACACAGAATCGGAAACAGGCTCCAGGCTCCGAGCCATCAGCCCAGAGCCCGACGCGGGGCTCGAACTCACGGACCGCGAGATCGTGACCTGGCTGAAGTCAGATGCTTAACCGACTGCGCCACCCAGGCGCCCCAGGTTCTGTTGATTTTCTACATAACTTTCTATTCTGTGTTTTATTTTTATTGTAATCTTTACTATCAGCTTTCTTCTGCTAGCCTTGGATTTAGCTTGCTCTGCATCTTCTAGTTCCTTAAGTTATATAATTAGATGATCAATTTGGGATCTTTCCTCTTTTTGAAGAGAGCATTTACTGCTATAAATTTCCCTCTTCACACTGCTTTCACTGCAACCTGTAAGTTTGGTATGTTTTGGGGTTTTTTTGTTCTCATTCATCTGAAGGCATTTCCTAAATTCCCTTGTGATTTCTTCTTTAGTTGCATGATTATTTTTTTTTAATGCTTTTTATTTATTTTGAGACAGAGAGAGACAGAGCATGAGCAGGAGAGGGGCAGAGAGAGGGAGACACAGAATCCAAAGCAGGCTCCAGGCTCCAAGCTGTCAGAGCAAAGCCCGATGCGGGGCTCGAACCCACAGACTGTGAGATCATGACCTGACCTGAAGTCGGACACTTAACCAACTGAGCCACCCAGGCGCCCCTAGTTGCGTGATTGTTTAAGAAATGTTGTTTAGGGGCACCTGGTTGGCTCAGTCAGTTGGGGCTGAACCCTGCATTGGGCTCTGTGGTGACAGTTCAGAGCCTGGAGCCTGCTTCAGATTCCGTGTCCCACCCCCCCTTTCACTCCCCCACTCACGCTCTGTTTCTCTCACTCTCTCAAAAATAAATAAACGTTAAAAGAAATTATAAAAAAAAAGAAATGTTTACTCTCCACTTATTTGTGCTTTTTCCAGTTTTCTGTCATTGATTTCTAATGTTATTCCATTGTGATCAGAAAATACATGTGTATGACTTGAAACTTTTAAAACTTATTAAATTCAGTAAGACTTGTTCTATGGTCTAAAATATCTTGGAGAATATTCCAAGTACACTTGAGAAGAATGTATATTCTTTTGTTCAGTGGAGTTTCCCAAATGTCTATTAGGTCTAATTTTGGCTTATAATGTTGTTCAAGTGCTCCATATCTTTATTGATCTTCTGTCTGGTTCTATCTATTCTTAAAGGTAGGGTATTGAATTCTCTATTGTAGAACTATCTATTTCTTTTTCCATTTGCTAATTTTTAATATATTTTGGTGCTCTATTGTTAAGTGTATATATGCTATAATATTTATATCTTCTTAAAAAATTTTTTTAATGTTTATTTTTGACAGAGAGTCAGAGCATGAGCAGGGGAGGGACAGAGAAAGAGGGAGACATAGAATCCAAAGCAGACTCCAGGCTCTGAGCTGTCAGCACAGAGCCTAATGCAGGGCTTGAACCCATGAACCAGGAGATCATGACCTGCACTAAATTTGGACGCTAAACTGACTGAGCCACCCACGTGCGCCCTTTACCCTGATTCTAATGGTGGTTTTACAACTGTGTTTGAACCAAAGAAATTGTCATTTTTTTGTAAGTCAATTGTGTCTCCATTAAAAAATTATTTTTTCAAATTTGAAAGTTCTGAGCTTGTGTTTAGGGCTTACTGAATTTTGATTTCACTGTCCAATTATCTAACAAGGAAGTTTATTTGGAGACCCTCATTCAGTATCTTTAGGTCATTCTCAATGGGCTTGTCAGAGTCCCCCGAGAAATCAGACTCTACCAAGCTCTGGCCAGAGCAGGGTGACTGCTGGTTGCCAGGGTTCCAGGAGCTCAGTGGGAGGAACTGTCTTGGGATTCAGTATGTATTTGCTCACTTCAGGACTGTGCTGGGATAGCACCGATGCCTTCATTTGATCCCAGTGCCCCTAGTCA